ATAATTTAGAAAAATTCTGTTCTCCCATTTTTTGTTTGAATAAAGAAATGACTCCCTTATTTTTTCCTGTCATTGCTGCCGCAACACTTCAGAAAATAATATTCAATTTAAACTAGACGAATTACATCGAAAAATATTTATTTATAATTTCTTCTAAACATCTCGTGGGCCGGATAGAAACTCTTCGCGGGCCGCAACTGGCCCGCGGGCCGGGGGTTGCCCACCGTTGACTTAGTTTACTGTTAGAAATTTGGTTCCTGTATACATGTTAAACAAATTTCAATATACTGCATGTTCAAATGGAAAGTTTACTTGCAAGGAGTAGACTTGGTAGTGCTGTAACTGTTCTGCTACAAGCTCAAGAAAGATTTAAATCTTGAGCATTTATTTACTATAGACTCAAGTAAATTGGAATTGCAAAATCTATAACTTTCAAGTAAACTTTTCTTCATTTGATCACTGTACAATAAAAGCTTGGTTTATATTATTTATAGCATATAAATACATATGTAATATTTATGTTGGAAGTTACTGTCAAAAATTTATATAATACTTACTTAATTTCATCATATACCACATTTCTGGAAGAAAGTAACTATGACCAAGAATAATCCAACAAGCAGTGAAGAATCGCATTCCATGGAAACAGCTTAAATTCTGGTGTAGAGGGTTCAACAATCTTTTCGTATTTGCGTAGATTGAAAACGACTTTGCAAACCTTGTCAATACAGCTCAATAAGAAAATATATTGTATACAGGAAAAGAACAATAAATGAGAAAAAATTGTAAAAAAAACATTTATAATGACTAATCGTTATCAATTAATCACAATACATTATTAATTGTTACATGGTTTAAATTTTAAAAAAAACCCATACTTTTAATATTTGAACAAATAAAATTTGAAAATGTATTCTAAAATAAAAAAAATTTATTTTAAAAGAAAATGTTCAAAAACAAAATATTATAAGAATCAATAGTATTAAATACTTACTTTTGTAGGATGGTTTATCTTCACTTTTAGTAAATTGCGTGTTTGTCACATCAAAAATAGTTCCTGCAGTTGCAAATATGATAAATGCACTAAACAGTGCTCTGAAAAATATTTTGTCTATAAATTGAAAATGTGTTTTAAATAGGATAATTAATCAGAACTTTCAAACACACTAATTTTCTTAAAATAAAATTAAGGATAATATATTAAACAATGTCGTCTTTTAAATTAATCATGCTATAGAAAACTCTAAACATTGGACTGATGCTTTTTAAATTGAAAATCTCAACCTTCTCAACATGTGGAAAATATAAATATCTCAAATTTGGCATAATTCTGAGATATTTATACTTTCTACATGTTGAGAATGTTTCGATGTTTATGCAATTAATCTAATCAATGAAACATTCCAATGCTTAGAATTCCTGTGATACAATCAATATAAAAAAGTCATTTAGTAGATTGTTTTCAATTGTGTTCTTAAAACAAAATATATGCCTACAGAATTTTAAATGTACATATAAAATTTAGATAAAGTAGACAACAAATCTGCTTTATTACAGTTCCTTTTTTAACTAAACATTTTAAAGCTTACAGGTTCATTCTCAGTATAAGACAATTTAAGAGGTTTAATTGTCATTCACATTTTTCTCTTCATGGTTATTTTGTAATTGTTCATCCTCCAGATCTATAAAACAAAGTAATTGTAAATCACTTTGTTTAGTGAGAATCTTGAAGAATGACCTTATAAGACCAAAAACATTTAAAGTGTATTATTATTTTTAATTCTAATAAAGCAGGATTGTTGTCAATAAAGCAATCAATAAACATTTAATAAACCGTAGCCAAACATATGTAATAGGCTGTATCCATATTATTTTTGGGTTCAAATTAATTGATTAAATTACATAATTTGGTCTAAAGGCACATTAAAGATAGCATTTTAACTGTTTACTTTAGACCAAATTCTGTAATTTAATTTGGCTTAATTCTATGCCCAAAATAATCTTGCATTTAAAGCAATCTCATTCCAAGTGTTTAATAATATATCCTGCAATTCGTCTTAAAGTACTTCAATAAAACAAACTCACAAATAAATACCAAACATCTTTTTTTTAGCAGCAAAACTTTTACTAAGAAAAAATAATTTTGATTTAACTTAGACCATCTTCAGGTTCTCTATCTTTTGAATATATTACAGTTTCCAATAATTAAACTTTAAATATAAAATATACTCACATTATAAAAATCTGAAATAATGTTAATTCTTTAGACGACGATGTCTGACATTCCATAACATTTGTTGTAAAACCCAAATTATAAACCACTAAAAATAATAAATTGTTGAAGTAAAATAAATAGTTACTAATATTGAAAAATAAAATAACTTATTACATATGATGGTTCAAAACTCAGTTAACTATGATATATTTTAAAGATTATTTTAAAAACAGTTTTGAACAGCTGTATGTAATTATTTATGACTTAAACATTTTCAATAATGGGAATGAATTGTGAGTAAGTGTTCAACCATAAACCATTGTCCTGATTTAGGGGAGAGAGAAGTATACAAAAAGACCACAATCATCATTTAGGAGTAGGATGGGTAAAGAAAACAAAAATACAATTATATAAAATAAATGAATTTGGAAAAATTAAAAAAAATATATGTACTACATTTAATAATGTATTGATATTTTCACAGTCAATTAAATTACCCAATTTTCTTGAAATCTCAGTGCATGATTGTGTTAAGTGAAAGTGTTATTTGCAATACTTTTATTCTCTTTACCCAGGACATGTGCTATACAGAAAAGCATGGTGTTTCAAAATAAATATGTAGCAATTATTAAAAATACCTGCTTGTGTCATGTACTGGATGTCATCTTCCTGGCAAACAGAAGGAAAACACATTCCGATCCAGAAACTTAAATCTTCAGGTATGCGTTTGATCAAACTAAGATTAGAAAACTGTAAAAATAAAAAATGTAAAATTTTATATCATCACTTCTTGTAAAATAGAAACATAAATAAAAATAATTACTTAATACAAAATGCATAATGATTACTTAGACTTCTCTTTAATGTTATTCATAGTTCTTTTATCACTAATTAATGTGATCAATTGATTTTTATACAAATTATTTTCTTGTCTTGTTTTTTCCTCTTCTTGTCCTGATACACTTTGTTCTTTGTACTTCCTATTCTTTGTTTTGGGTTTGGCCTGAACTCATTGGTTAGATAGGTCAAAAGGAACAAGAGCATTTCTCAAGACAGTTGTGAAGTGAATATTAGAATATAGATTAGAGAGAAATGGATCAATTGTTCATTTGGGACTTTCAAAAAATGAAGTAACAAGCAAAACATGCTGACTGAAATAGTCTTGTTTCTTTTTCTCTAAACTTCAATACCTCTTGATAAATTAACTTAAAGAGGTATTGAATTTTAGAGTAAAAGAAAAGACTATTTCAGTCAGCGTATTTTGAGTTTATTCTCTATTGAAAAGACTAATCTGAAAATAGAACTGTGTAGGACATGAAATAGGAAGGTCGTGAAGAATTTTTCTGCTGATACTAAGTAATTGTTTTTATTGTTTTTATTGTTTATCCCTTTTGCAGAGGGAATGTTGAACATTCCCTCTGCAAAAGGGCTGCATGTATTGTAGATTTTCTTTGTAAGTGTTTGAACTTTCATTAAATGTGCTGCAATCAGTTGGTTGCTTATATGCAAGCAAGCTGTTGTAAATTCAATTGAATTTGACCAAATAAAACATAATTTTAGTTACAGTACTTTTCATTCTTGATACCTTAGTAATTTACAGAATGTTTTGGTTCATATATTGGTTACATTTTTGGATTAAGTGCACAAACTTCAATTGCACAAATTAGAATGAATTTTTCCAACATAAATATATTAAAATCTGGGAATGACATATTTTGCAACATAATAATTCTTTAAATAATTTCATATCCATGAACTAAAATTTCAAATAATTTAATAATTAAATGAAATATTGATGACAAAAATTTACTTGTACCTATTGTATCAGAAAAAATTTTCCTAAAAAAAATTCAACTGTGAAAATGATAATGATTTAAATAAAGAAAATCCAAGTAGCATGTAAATATTGCAATTTGATTTGTTTCTATAATTTTTAAGCAATCAGTCCATTTTGTCTTGTAATTTTAAATTGTATGAGCAAAAGCAACTCAACAATGCAGCATGAAAGACCCATTTTGCTGTACAAATAAAAATTTTTCATACAAGAAGTCACTGATAAGTGGCACTGGACCTATGCAAATCATTATTATAAATATTGAATATGTGCTCCATTTGTGTTCAGCAGTGGAAAATATGCTTTTCACTGCTGAACGTGATGAGTCTGCTTTAGTCATGAGAACATGCTGATAAACTCTGTCCTTTAGATCTGACACAAATGACATCTTTTAAAATGGTCTATCAAAAAATCCCATAGCCAGAAGTCATATGGGGTAAAATCAGGTAAACAAGAAGGTCAAACTGTTGGGAAGTAACAACTGATCACCCAATCATATATGAAAATCTGCCTTAACACACATTGAATAAAGCAAGGGATGTAGGAGGATGCACCATCTTTTACGAATCTTGAAGACTTTGTTAAAGCTCTGGATCAAAAAGTTGTTAGCATGTTAAGATACTGTTCTCCAATAACTAAGCAGATTCAGACCCCAGTTGTATAACTCCAATGCCACCTATCGTTGACATTTTGTACAAAAAACTTTTATTTAATAAATGGCAAATGCATCCAATCCAAATGTCCAAATGTTCTTTCATTTCAAGCAGTAGAACTCTAGAGCCATCTGAGTTGAGATGTTTAATTTCGACAACCCTGTATATTCTTTAGATACAATCCAATGTTTAATTGATATTAATGTTTAAGCATATAATAGCATTGAATTTGCATTTTTTTTTCTATTCAAATTACTTATTTAACTATTAACAATATGATTAAACACATTGACTGCTAACTACAAGTTAATTCATGGATAGTTTCCTTTAGGATGCCTTCTAAAAGTTATCTTGTGAAATGTGATCTGGCTTACAGCATCTGATACAAACATAAAAAATAAACGTTAATAATGAATAACGGGCATTTGGATTAAGAATTAAAAATAATGTTAATAGAATGGCAGTCAATGTGTTAAAATGTATTTTAAAATACTCTGCACATTATAAAAATAAAATAATATTGAGACTGTAAATATATCAGAAACTAATTGACACTAGTGAAATCAAAATGTTTGCTTACTGTTTTACATTGTGTAATCTCTTATCAAGGCTGTTTCAGTTTCATATTTGGTTTGGAATCAGAACCAAATGTAAAACAGAATAAAATTATTGATTCTGATTATCATCATCATAATGAATAGAATAAAGCTATCAATTTTAAGATAAATATTCTATAAAAACTTATTTAAAACAATGTTTTTACCAATAATTCTATAAACCAAAATATTGCAAAAAAAATTCTAATTCTTTTTGTCTGCTCTGTGGATGAGTGGTTTCATCCATTAGGATACAATTGTAACCAATCTCATGAGTAAATGGCTTGACACAGTGTTCTAAGATATAGCCTAATTTCATCCCTATATTTTTGAACATTCAAGAAACCTGTTGGAAACAAAGATTAGTCAGCCACCCAAACAGATGCTGGTCCATACCATGACACTACTGCACCAAACATATCCCTTTCTCAAGGATATCTGAACAATGATTACATATCCCTGGATCCCTCCAAATAAATAGGATTGCTTGAAATCACTCTATAATGAAAATCTGGATTCATCTGTAAAAAAGAATGGATCTCCATTGATCATGTCAGTTGATATGGTGCATGCACCAATTGAGTTAATCTCTTTTTATATTGATAAGTGAGAGGAATGCAAAGCATAGGTCTCCTAGCATAAAGACTACACTCATAAAACCTATGTAGTGTTGAAGAAGAAACTGAAGTTCTCACTCATTGCTGCTAAAAGATCAGAATGCAAGTTAATTAGTAGATAGACATATTTTTCTTTACAGCAGTTAATTTCGGATAATGGTTTTCTTTTGCAGTTATTTTTTATGGTCTTCCATAGCTAAACCTTTTTAAAGAATTATTTGTCCTTTGGAATATCTTCAAACGACTGGATTGCAGATCAATTTCTCTAAGCTAGCTGAATGTTTTAGCTTGAGGTTGGCCAGCTTCAAGTCGGCTTTCTATCTTATTTCATCTGCTAAATGATGTCACAAATATTTAATTAAAAAGTCATCTAAATTATAGCTATTAGAACATAAATGAATGAGAGCAAAAAACATTCACCTTTATAAATATGTAAAATAGCTCAATTTTAAAGGTTGTGTTAATTTGCATAGAATATTCAGTCAGCAACATTAAACACCTACAGATTCAATTTTACGGCAATGTTTTATGAAAGCTTCAAACTATAGTTTGATAATGTGTATTTTCACCATTAAAACCTTCTTAAAATGTAAAAGTTCTTTAAAAAAGTAGGTATTTTTGTACATATTGATGCAAAAAGATGTATTTTTTGCGTGTTCTATATATATTTTTATCGCTAATTTATTATGAACTACAAGAGCAGATTTAAACAGAGGCTACAGCTAAGAGTGTTATATTTTTTAAATTTATTATTATTTGGTGGAAAGCAAAGAGCCTCTTACATGCTATAACTTAAGCCCAAAAGTCTAAGTTCAGTCCTGATTGTGCATTATTAATTGAAACAAAGTATTTTTATATTAATGTTTGATAAAAAATTGAAAAATATTTGATACTTAAGATTTTAAGAGACACAAAATATAAGTAAAACTTATAAATTCTCAAAATTTTTAATGTTTAGTTTTATTTTTTTTGTTCAGAAAATCATGTTTNCCGACTTCTCCATTGAATCTACGTATTAGTTACAACGCTTTTCAATGGCTTACTTTGCGAGAATTAAATTGTCTGCAGCTGTGCGACTTAAAACACAATCTAACACACTTAACAGTTATCTATACAGGCTGGACATAAAGAATTATTTTCCTTAAGCTGTTTGTCTCTTTCCACAATGCGGTCTTTTCCGAGTGCAGTTCATGTGCCACACTTACGTAACCCTCTGCAAATGCTTTGTGCCACTTAAACGTTCGTGTCCACGTCTTGTGTTTTCGTCGACTCTCGTACGGATTTTCTTCGCACGAAACTCTCTTAAATGCCATCGTTGCGTTTAGGTGACGCACGTTAGGGTAAATTGCTCTAGAACGAAATACTCGTTACGACTTGTGCTCGAGATCGAGTATGAGTGCCTTTTGCGCATGGCTACTTTTCTGTCTTGTCTTTACTTTTCTGTCGTACAAATAAATACAAATTACACGTAAGAGAGTTTATTCGTTCCGGGTCGGTCGTCTCTACTGCAAATGCAGTTCGAATCTTCTAGCAATTTCCGGTAGGATCTAACGCGAGTTACACGAATTCCGGTCCGACGTGAGTATAATCTTGAACTTTTTCTGCGTTAAGTATATCCGCATCCCATTAATATATATATATATATATATATATTTGTTTCTTTACAGAATGAAGAGCTGGCGGTTTTGGCGTTGGCAGCGGCCCAAGAAGATGAAGAAGTGTGAAGGGCGTTCTCCTTCCGCAATCGATGAAAAGAGGGTCTTTTCCCCCTTTGAGCGGGGAGAGGAACTCTCTTCCATCGATTGCGGAAGGGGTTCTTTCTTCACGGGATCGCCTTCGGGAATAGCGGATGTCGACAGCATTCTCTGTTCCGCGTTGAACGGAGAGGAGACATTTCGCCATTCGGACGTGTTCCGAAAGGTGAAATGTCTCCATGTTGACGACATCATCTTTGACGCACTGGGAGGGGAGGAATGTTTCGATCATTCCTCCC